AATCGTAAAAGGAAATAGAAAACTATGATTTTAAAATGCCATGGTAGGCTGTGTTATTGCAACTTGAAAAGTCAGTAAGTATGTAAATTCTGGTAGCAATTTTTACAATGCCAGTTCTCCATAAAATAAATTCTTTTAACATTCTGCAATTGTATGCGCTAGCGGACAATAAAACTATAAATTAACGAGAAGTGCATATGAACACTTCACATACGTGGAAAAGCTCAGATAAAAAGAACTAGCTATATCAATTTTTTTGTTGTTGCTGTTAGAACCATGTTTCCCTAAGTGGGGACTACTGCTCTCTCAGGTGTGTGGAACAATAAGATGATTTAATGGCTCAGGAGTCCGAATTCTGTATTGCAACTGCCGGGGGTGGGAGAGTGGGGATGCTTGCTGATGTTGGCTTCAAGAAGGTAAATGCTAGGAGGGTGCTGAAAGTTTTTGTGTTTCTGAAAATGTAGAACAAATAAGTTTGGGAGCAAATCTTTGGGAGTTTGTGTGAGAAAGCAAACACATAATTAGGATGCTGAAATATTTTGTTTTTCTCAAAATGTAGGCCGCGTTTGTTTCCTCTTAAACAATATTTAAGGCCCTCTAATTAAAATGGTAGCTACTGACTCCTGTTTGCACAGGTGAAGACTGAAACCATAATTTGGCTGATAATGTCTTTTCAATCACAGTGTCGCGTGTTAAGACGTGAATCAGTTACTTCAGCAAACTGACTTACAGTTCCAGGAATTAGACTGAATCAGAAGAGCCTGCAGGACCCCAAAGGGATCTAATTTATTATTAAAGCTTTATGCATCCTCATAGAATTCTGCCATTTCCCGAGACATACTAATGTATTATACATGATTCTAATCAGAATGATATCTGATACTTTCACAATACAATACATTTACAAATATAAGATGACTTTATTTTGTGACTTTAACCTACAGTTAAGGAAGTCGGGAGTTTGCTCTTCAGAAATGGCTTCACTGATTTTAAAAACAACACAGACATTTAAGAAGTTCAAGTGGTTTTAGATAGCAATATTTGTTCCCTATTCATAATTCCCTGCATCACTAATTGTTGTGTCCCTGATGATTTATTACCAAGTACATTGAACTGGAAAAGTATCAAAACCTTCTCACAGGTAGGCAAGTTGCCTTAACTGTCTTAAGTGTTCTATAAATTCACTGAGATGTGAAAGTTTCCATGTCAGGTGATACATTTTTCATCTCTTCAACTAATGGTAAATAGTTTCACAACACTTTTAATTTCAATGTGTCACAATTCCACTTTTGTTTTGAATGTGTTTTTTTAAAATTTTTATTACTGAAACACCATGAGGTACAGTTGTAGACTTAAAATTTTTGTGCTTGGGTTTCAGTTATACACGGATTCAGTACCCATCCCTCCACTAGTGCCCATTCTCCATCATTTACACTTTGTTTTTAATTTTTGTTAGAGAAACACCATGAGATACAGTTGTAGATTTACAAATGTTTGTACTTGGGTTTCAATTGTACAATGATCAAACACCCATCCCTCCACCAGTGCCCATTTTATACCACCACGGGTCCCAGTATCACTCCCACCCTCCATCCCCCCTGTCCCATCCTGCCTCTGTGGCAGGGCATTCCCTTTTGTTCTCTCTCTCTTTTGGGTGTTGTGGTTTGCAAAAGAGGCAATGCCTCAATGCCTCTGTTTTGAATATTTCATAACATTAGTTATTGTAAAACAATGAAACTGAGAGCTAAGGAAATTTTTGCTGAATAAATGAGTAAGCCATTATCAAGTCAGCAAGTGACTGAGTATTACCCATCTTTACTAGTCATGTATTTTCAAGTGGTAAATTTTATATGTGTGACTAGAGGGCAAAAATTTAAACAGTGAACCACGCTATAAACACATCTATCAAGATGACAAATTAGTAATAATGGAAAGAATTTCTAAGAATTTGAAGAAAGCCCATTCCAATCATCCTAAAAGAAATATTTGAAGGGGCTGGAGTGATAGCACAGCAGTAAGGCATTTGCCTTGCACACAGCAGACCTGAGTTCGATTCCCAGCATCCCATATGTCCCCTGAGCACCCCCGGGGTGATTCCTGAGTGCAGAGCCAGGAATAAACCCTGTGCATCACTGGCTGTGACAAACAGAAAAATAAATATTTGAAAAGAAAACTTTGACACTACAGACTTAATATTGAATTACATTTTTGGAAGCATATTTCTTTCATAGGTGATTGTTATTGAAAAACATTGAGAGAATTCCATGGGGCCAAAGGAAATAATGAATACAGAAATTTCCTTAATTTAAATGATTTTTGGTTGTATAAAAGGGCAGGTATTAAAGAAGAGGAAATAAAACTTCCTATGTAGGTTGATAAAAGTTCCATGGACTCCAATGTTTGCTGAGATATTACCAGTGAATGAAACAATGGTGGAAGCAAAAAAACAAATCGTCGAAATACTCTTAACCTGTTAGAGCATGGAGCATGGAGTAATAAGTAGTGGATAAGTATAAAGAAGTAAAAATTGGGGACATGGAATGCTTAGTGTGTGGACAATTAAATACAAAGGCTCTGTATTTAATATATCACTTTATTTACTTTTCATTATTCAAACATTAATTTCCATCGTTCCTTCATAAATTACTGCTGGTGTTTTTAAATTAAGAGAATTGTGGTTATAAAAGCCTTTTTCTTAATGCTAATATGCACTGAAAGGAAGTTGAAAAGCAAAGTGTATTTAACCGTGGTTAACATTTGTGCATGTAATCTACTGAAAAAATAACTGAAATTTTCTCTTATAATTCCGATATCCCTATCAAATACACTGTCTCTTTGAAAGACAACGCATTCTATGTGATGTCGTACTCATCTAAGAATTAAAATATCTGAGTCTTAGCACTTGTAGGGCATTTAATTGCCCCAATATATACTAAATTCCCTACTAGTCAAGATGGTATTTTCTCAGACTCTTGGAAACATTGTAAAGATACACCCCCCTTCTTTGACATAATGTAAAAATGTCCTGAGAAAATAGTAATTTTATTTGAAAAACGTTCAAACTATTTGGTTATATTTTTAGGGGGTTGCAGAGGCTTGAGTCCATAAGAGCACTGCTTTGGGATCACTGTTGGCAGTGACTGAGGACCATTGGAGTACTGGACATTGAACGAGGGTCAGCTGAGGCTGGAGCGATAGTACAGTGAGGAGGGTGTTTGCTTTGCATGTGGCCAACCCAGGTTGTACCTCTGGTGTCCGAAGCACCGCGAGGAATTAATTCTTGAGTGCAGAATTTGGAGTAACCCCTAAACATCACTGGGTGTGACTCAAAAGCCAAAAAAAAAAAACCAGAAAAAAACGAAGATGATCAAGAGTCACCTGTGAACAAGGCAAATGCTTGAACCCTTGTACTATCTCTTCAGCACCTATTATGTATTAGCTCAAATGTATTTAATGATTTAATCTAGTTAAAGTATGGAGATTGCATTGATTCCTTCATTCTTCTCCCATGGTATTAATCTTGTTTGCCAAGCCTGATAAAGGAACCAAGGAAGGCTATTCGCCTCATGGTGGGTAAGATGCATGCTTAACTTTTGGCCATATATTTATGAGGACTGATTTATTGACAGTGCTTTAGTTTGATTTTAATTTTCCTTTTATTTCCACTGACAGCAAAATCTTCTGAGAATACAATCAAGATAGTGTATTTATAGAAATAACATTAAGCTTGGTCATAAACGAGAACAGTCATTTTAACAATCTCCTTTACCAAAAGCATTCCACATTGAGAGATAATAGCACAATAAATAAAGGATGTGTCGTTCATCACACAACAAACAAAACAGAGTTGCAGTAACCAAAAGCAACATAACTTCATAAATGTTTTTATACTAAAAAAGTGAAACAAAAATAGGAGAGCATGCACTAGAGACCAAAGCTAAAAGTGAATAGCTATAGCCAAAACGAAACAAAACAAAATAATCGCAACGTCACAAAAGATCCAAGTGTTCAAGTACTGTGAGAGGACCAGAGCAGATACAAACAGAATGGTTTGGGAATAAATCGAGGCTCTTTACTGCCTGAGGACGGCCACTGATGGATTTGCCTTTGTCCACTAAAACTTGTGCTATTCAAATTCACACTCTCATCTTCTAATTCGCGGGCGGAATGAAACTCATCCTTCACCTTGAATTCTCAGTAGACAAAGTGCTCTGAAGACTAGGGCATAGCAGACTCCAGAGCCGGCCAGGGAGACCTCTAGGGCTTGTTAAGAACCTGGGGTTGAAGAAGCAGCGTCTTTTGTCCTTATTTTCATCATTCATGGAAAACAATCCCCAGTCCTGACACATGACTTCATCTCGCTTTTCAATGTTTCCATGTGAGTTGAACTACCAGAAACAAGTAATAGCAAAGACAACAACAACAATAATAAGTCATAACATAACAATATAATAATCGTATAACATTTTTATAGATGCGTAACTATTCTTAAGTACTCAAAGTTGGGCCACTTAATGGAACTAGGAATCGCTTACATAATGCTTCACTGGGGCAGCGCTTAGAGCTAAGAAGAAAGAAGTCTCTTCCCCCCGGGGATAAGGAATACACCAAGGCATTGGCCTTGGACCTGGCCTGGGGTGGATAATGCATCGGAGTGGGGGGTCGTGGCTAGTTTTTCTACGTGATCGGGAGAGACGTGTTTGCCATGGGAGTAAAAAAATAAAATTTGTCTGTTAAATTACACATAAATATAAGGTACAAATGTATTTTTAAAATACAGAGTAAAATAATCACACTTGCATTGTGTACATACGAAAATACAGTATTTAATATTCCATATACACAGACACATTTAGGATCAATGCAAACCATTTGGCAACGCCCAGTTCCCCCACACCGCCCTGGGACTGGGTGGTGGTGGTGGTGGTGGTGGTGGTGGTGGTAGGGGGGTGGTGGATGGAGGGGGCAGGGTGCCCCCTTCCCCTCTCCCCCCAGCCCTCCCCCGAGGATGCCCGGGGAGGCCCCTAGCTCTGGCGCACGTCCTGCAGGAGCTTGTTGATCTCGGCCACCAGCTCGCTGGCGTCCAGGAGTTCGTGCTTGCCGTCGGCCAGGTGGCCCAGCACGTTGTCGAAGTCGTCCTCCTCGTAGTTCTCGGGGATCTCCTCCATGGCCGGGAGCCACTTGGCGGCGGGCTGCACGCTGGGACCCCCCGCGGGGTTCTGGAAGTGGGTGCCCGCGGCCCAGGCGGCCACGCCCGCGGGGTAGCTGGGGGCCTTGGGGGGCAGCGGGCCCTTGCGGCGCTCCAGGGAGCCGCCCGCGTCCCGGGGCTCGGCGTCGGGGCCGGGGCCGGGGCCGGGACCGGGACCAGGCCCGGGCCCGGGAGGACCCCCGGGGCCCGGGATGGGGATGGGGGCGTCGGGCGCGGGCGGCAGCAGGCGCTGGAACACGCTGCTCATCTCGGACAGCAGCGACGCGCCCTCGTTGGGCTCCGGGCCCGGCGCGTCCTTGCCGAAGGTGGAGAAGCTCTTCTTCTTCTCGCCCTCGCCACTGCCCGGCCCGTCCTCGTCCAGCCCCGCGCAGGGTCCGGCCGGGGCATGCGGCGGTGGGGGCTGCTGCAGGGGCTGCGCCGGGAACTCCTCGCCCGGGATGAACATGTTGCTGCGGTAGTCGGAGGACGGCGACGGCAGCGGCGGCATCCAGCACTGGTCCGAGTGGCCCAGCACCCGGCACTCCTCCGTGCACAGGCGCATGGCTGTGGGGGGGGACAGGGAGCAGAGGGGGCGTTAGACGACGCGGGGGTGGGTCCCTGCGAGGCGGCCAGCAAACCCAAGGCCACCTCCAAACTCCCGCCCGAGATGCTCAGCTGGTTTCTGCCTCAGATGCACCTTGGTGCATCTTCTTTAGAAGAGGCTGCAAGGAGTCAGCTCCGAGCATCTCTGGACGTGGACCAAAAAAAGCCTGCACTCCTCCGTGAAGAGGCTCAGGGCAAGGGAGAAGGGGTGTTAGATGCAGGGGTCGGTCCCTGTGACGGGGCAGCGGGGCAGGTCTCGGGGCCAGCAAACCCAAGGCCACCTCCAAACTCCCACCCAAGATGCTCGCTGGTTTCTGCATCAAATGCATTTTAGTGCAATCTTCTTTAGAAGAGGCTGCCAGGAGTCAGCCCTGAGCATCTCTGGATGTGGACCAAAAGCCTGCACTCTCTTCCGTGCAGAGGCACAGGGCTGCGAGCAGTGCAACGGACAGGGAAAACAGGGGCATTAGGAGCCAGGGACAGGGCAGTGGGGAAGGGCCAATCTTGGGGCTAGTAAACCCAAAGCCACCTTGGAACCTCCAGCCAGGATGCTCACTAGTTTCTGCCCCAGATGTGCCCTAGAACAGATGACTGGTTAAAGAAACTTTGGCACATCTACACAATGGAATACTATGCAGTTGTCAGGAGATATGAAGTCTTGAACTTGGCTTATAAATGGATAGACATGGAGAGTATCATGCTAAGTGAAATGAGTCTGAAAGAGAGGGAAAGACATAGAAGGAGTGCACTCACTTGTGGATTATAAAAAAACATAACATGAGGCTGACATCTAAGGATAGTAGATATATGGGACAGGAAGATTGCTCCATAGCTGGAAGCATGCCTCATGAGCAAAGGGGAGAAGGCAGCTGGAATAGAGAAGGATCGCTAAGAAAATGAGGACTGGAGGAATCAGTTGGGATGGGAGATGTGTGCAGAAAGTAGATAAATGACCAAACTTGACGGCCTCTCGGTGTCTGTATTGCAAACCATAATGCCCCAAAGTAGAGAGAGATTATGGGGAATCATGTCTGCCATGGAGGCAGGGACAGGGAAAAGGGGGGTTTACCAGGGACATTGGTAGTGAGGAATGTGCACTGGTGGAGGGATGGGTGTTTGATCATTGTGTGACTGTAACCCAAACATGAACGCCTGTAACTATGTCACGGTGATACAATAAAATTTAAAAAAAATAATTAAAAAATTAAAAAATTAAAAAATAAATTGAACATAAAAAAGAGACTTCAAGAAGTCACCCCTGAGCGTCTCTGGGTGTGACCAAAAGCCTGCACTCCTCTGTGCAGAGGCGCATGGCCATGAGGGCAAGGAAAAGGAGGGGTGTTAGGAGCTGGGCTGAGCCCCCGGAAGGGGCAGGGCCAGTAAACCCAGAGCCACCATGAACCACCACCCAGGATGCCTGCTAGTTTCTGCCCCAGATGCGCTAAGGAAGAGGCTTCAAGGAGTCACCCCTGAGCATCTCTGGGTGTGAACCCAAAAAAGTAAATAAAAATTTAAAAAATGTAACAAGAGAAGGTTATGCGATTACCAGTGGTCTACGGACCCCTGCAAATCTGAGCTGCCTGATGCAGGCTTCCTTGTTGATGAATCAGCTTTGGGGGTTGCCCCTCATGTCCTCCTATGGAACAACATTCCTACCACTCATGGCCTGAGGAGTAGATTCATGGGGAGGGGAGAGAATGATGCCAAGAGCTAAGGTGCGTGTGCATCCGGAAATATGTGCTGAGCTTCAATTCTCAACAACAGTAACAAAAAAAAGATCTAGAGTTATTAAGTGGAATTCATCACTTCAGAACGCTACCAGGGAATCCTTGAGCGGTCATATCTTTGAGTCACTTAAGTGACCTACTTTACTTTAATAGAGAACACAATAAGGTTAGGCCATTGTGCTTCTTAATTTCCCTTAAAGGTATCCTGTATTGTTTAGTGACTTATGACTTCCAAACAACAGCGCAAAGCACCCTCAGCGCCTGGCCTCTGCACTCACCCTGTTAAGAGTTCTTTTTCAAACTGTCTCAAGGTCTAAACTTCATCGCAATGGAAAAGTCATCAAAAGAGGAAGAATCTGAAAAATCCACTGGCTAAACATTGCAGATGTTACGATGTTCTCACTGAAATGTGAGTTGCCACACTCAAAATAAGAGATGATGTAAAAAAAAAAACCAGATGATGTGAGAAAAGCAGAAAAATTAAAAATTAAGAGGCACGGGGGTGGGGTGGGGGGGGAAGATCTATTTCCCAACTACAGAAATGCAAAGTGGAAAATAGACTCCACAAATTCTTCATTGCTTTTAGTGGCAAGTTTCTTCCTTTAATATCATGATTTTATTCTAGGGCAAATTAACATAAAATACAAAATTCTAAGAAATGGCCACAGATTTCAACAAAAATTGAGCTGACCACCACCAGATCTTTATTTTCACAGTCCTACAGATCAGGTTGCTTAGGAAAGATTTATTTTCTTCCCAAGTTATTATTTAAAAGGCTTTTGAACAGAACTGGAACTTTTTATTTATTTATTTTTTTGCATCACACCTGGTGATGCACAGGGATTACTCCTGTCTCTGCACTCAGATATTATCCCTGGCGGTGCTCAGGGGACTATATGGGATAATGGGAATCGAACTTGGGTGGACCACATGCAAGGCAAATGCCCTACCTACTGTGCTATCACTCCAGCCCCCCAGAACCGAAACTCCTGAACAGCACTGGGTCTCAGGCCAAGAGTGAGGGAGCGATAGTGCTGACTGCTGTATCTCCAGAATCGCTGTAGCAAGATCACCAGGACAAAAGTTTATGTTAAAAGCATTCACCCTGCACTTCCTTTTCACCAGGGAGCGCAATAGCACAGCGGTAGGGCATTTGCCTTGCAACGCAGCCAGCATGGCCGACCCGAGTTCGATTCCTCCGCCCCTCTCGGAGAGCCCGGCAAGCTACCGAGAGTATCTCGCCCGCACGGCAGAGCCTGGCAAGCTCCCTGTGACGTATTCGATATGCCAGACACAGTAACAACAAAGTCTCCAATGGAGACGTTACTGGGCCCGCTCGAGCAAATCGATGAACAACGGGAGGGCCTTTCCTTTTCACCAGGAGAGTGCAAATCAAAACCACAGCTAGTATCTCATCAGTGTCAGGGGACACTGCTTTTGAAAGAAAGCATTGACAAGGCTTTGGAGAAAGACAACATTTGGATACTTCCTGGTGAGGATGCAAAATGGTGGTGACTCTTTGCCTGGAACACTACAAAGACACTTCCCAAATGAAGCAGAAACAACATACGATTCACTCCTGAGGAGACGTTTGAAAACCTAAAACCAGCACCTCAAAGAGTATTGACAGTTCTTGCTCACTCCAGCACTATCCACAACAGCTAAGATGAGAAAAACAAAGTAAGTGTCCAGTTACAAATAAATGTGATACATGCATATAATGGTATATTAGCCTTAAAAATTCTGCTACATACAACTACCTGAACAAACTCTGAGGATATTATGCTGGTGAAATAAGCTGATCCTAGAAGGCCAGATACCAAGTGACTCCGCATCTAGGAGGTGTTTTAAAAATGATCAGATTTATAGAACGCAAGAGTGGGATGGTCGGTGCCAGGGGACACAGTGAGCAAAATTGAGAAATTGCTCATCAAGTGGCACTGTAGCACTGTAGCACTGTCCTCCCGTTGTTCATCGATTTCCTTGAGCGGGCACCAGTACCGTCTCACAACAAATTGTGACACTTGGTGTTACTGTTTTTGGCATATCAAATACATCACAGGGAGCTTGCCAGGCTTTGCTGTGAGCGTAAGATACTCTCGGTAGCTTGCTGGGCTCTCTGAGAGGGGTGGAGGAATCGAATCCTGGTTTGTCACGTGCAAGGCAAACACCCTACTCGCTGTGCTATCACTCCAGCATAAGGTGTTAATTATGTGAGATGGATCATTCCTAGGGATCCAGGGCACAACATTATACCTCCAGTTAATAATAACATATTATATACTCAAAAACTCAATAGCTAGGTCTTCTAGTTAATATTCTTAGACAATAAAATAAACGTACAAACAAATCAAGTTGGGTAATAACCGTTATCTTTCAGAAATGGGGTTGGGGCAGGGTCAAGAGCCACTGTGACCGTCGGAAGGGCACTGGAACTATGGAGAGGTGAAGCAGAAGCTGGACTCCGAAACTATATTTAGTAAATCAATAGCCAATCAGTGGGGGTTGAATTTTAAAATGTGGGGCACAGGAGGTAAGGCCCCTGCCTTGCATACAGTCAGTGCTGGTTTGAATCCTTCGCACCACATATGGCCCCAGAAGTGCTGCCAGAGGTCAGTCCTGAGCAGAGTCGGGAATAATTCCTGAGCACTGTTGGGCATGGCCCTAATTCTAAGGGGCTGGCAAGAGATCACAAGAGGGAAGGCTCTTGCCTTGCACACAGCTGATGGGTTTGATCTCTGGCAACCCAACAAGCCCTGTCACGAGTGATTCCTGAGTGCAAAGCACTGCTGGGTGTGACCCAAACAATAAAAAAAGTGGTGGACACCCCTGGGTCCTGTGCTTGACCGTTTGGGTCGGCCTTGACCTATATTTGATGAAATCAGGACCCAATTCTTATTAGCAAAGGAAGTAACTTACAGGACAAGAATAAGGGCAAGAATTCTGAGTCCTGAAGGAGATCTGATTGTGAGCAGGGTAGAAACTTTGAGGAAGGGTATGAGCCTGCAGACAGCGGTGTGGACACGGGTTCTATGGGAATCACTTCGGGGCAAGAGAAAGGGTGAAGGTGGATAGCTAGGGTATGGATTTGTTATGAAAGGGTCAATTTTACAGACACAGGGACAATCTGAACATCAATATGCACTGACTGCAGGCATTTTTACCACTTGGAAGCCTTTGCCAATTCTTCTTGTTCACCATTTAATGTGGACAAAACTAAAAATGGTTGAAAGTAACTAGAATAGCTTAATAGTAAGAAGGTTTGGAATAAGTCATGGTTCAAAACAACTAAGTGGTCAAGAATATTTTCCTGAGTTCCCTGAACTCTGAAAATCAAAATGAGACCTGTCTCCCTTGCATCTGTTGGGACACAGGGTGACAGACCCAATGTGCCTCTCCCTTTACTTTCTGGTCTTTAGCTCTGTGGGGGAGGGCTAGTTAGTTTTCTTGACTTTATTTTGTATTTATGTTTATAATCAGGGTAAAAGGAAAAAATGCATTGGTTTCTAAGAATCCTAAGGATGATATACTTCTTAAAGTACATGGATAGAATTGGGAATCACCAATAGCACAAAGTAAGCAATTTAAATGAGAGTGCATCCTAAAAAAGAACTCTGGTCATTCGGCTTTCTATATTAAAAAACACACTGCCACAACTTCAGTAGATGCTACATGTACCCTTAGCCAAGATCAAAACTATTAGCACAACAATTTTAAATTTAAAAAAATATTAATATAAAATTAACTAATGGAGAGAAGAAAGAAAAAAAATTCAGGGCCTTTCCCAATTTTACTTTTACTGGCAATCTTTTCTATGGAGACTCCACTGTTTGAAAATGTGCTCAGTGTACATACAATTCTGCACTGAGGATGCCCCGTGATGTATGCAAGGAATCGGGACTTGCTGGCACGTGGTGCAAGCATCTAATCTGTTACTTCTTAGAAGCTCTGACAGGTGGTTAGACGTCCTCTGGGGGAGGGGAGGTGTAGGGAAAGAAAAGCACTCTTTGCCTGACATGACTAGCCATTCTGCAATCATTCTCCCCTGATACTCGGGGCAGAACGCATCAAATAAAAGAAAAAAGGAAAACCATGCCTAAACTTCTATCAAGCCATTAGTTACTGAGTGATGAGTCTACACTCAGCAGTCTTTAGTTCTCTGTTCTAAAGCAGTGTCAGTTCTGAGTCAAGAGGAGCAAATGAGACCGTATAGATCTAAACTGTGGGGACAGAGTGATAGCACAGAGGCTAAGACCTTACACAGAGCCAACCTGGGATGGATCCCCAGAACCCCATATGGTCCCCCAAGCCCTCTAGGGGGTGATTCCCTAAGTGCAGAGGCAGGAGTAAGCTCTGAGCACTGCCAGGTGGGGCCCCAAACCAACACAATAATAGCCATAATAGAAAATAAAATAAGTATCTAAGCTGTCCCCTTTATAAGGCAGAACACCCATCCCACATATGCAGAAAGAGCAGAGAGGGAGGGTCAAGGAGTTAAAGGGTGATCTGCAGGTCTGAGAGGCCGTCCAGCAGACTGAGAATGTGCTTTGCATGAAAAAAACCCAGGGTCTACTCCCAGAACCCAAGAGTCCCCCAAGCACTACTAGGAGTGACCCCTGAGCACATGGTCAAGCAACACTAGGTGGGATCCCCAAAATAAAAATAGACCAAAATATAGCAACTTGAAACATAGTCTGAGAAATGGATAGGAGTTAGAAGACAAAGCAAATAGAAGTCAGATTTGTTGCTGGCTCACTAGCAAGTACCGGAAATAAAGATGTGTGTATTTTCTGTAGAGATGGCTCTATTGAAGCCCCCACCCCCCAAAAAAGAGAGTCAAAATAGACAGCGAATAACTAAGAGTGATTTCATTGACCCGGGCTTAGTATACCTTGAATGTGGTGTTGCTAGGCAACGGAAGTCAATGATTGCTTTTTGAAACAAATACTGTAAATTGGAATGTTCTAGAAATGTGGCTTGAAATGTACAAAAGAAATATTCAACGAAGGGAGAAAATTTCAGGGTATCAGTTGGAAGCTAGCACATAGAGGAAAGTTCAACAACTCAGCGAGGAGAGAAGAGAGAATTTAAGACGGAGCTATGAATGAAGCAATCACAAATGACAGAGAAGCGACAAGAACTCAATCAAGAAAGCTCACATCAAGTCACAGCAGCAAACTGGGGAAATGAAGATTTTGCTACCGCTGGACACATTGTTGTTCAAAACTGAATGAATAAGGATGAAAGTATTTTGAGAAACATGAGCCAACAGACAAAAATGCATGTTGCTTTCACTGCTCAGAACTCAGGGTGGTTCCGTGGGAATTAATAGAACGAATGACCAGAAATGACCCTCTGGCAGGCAAATGCAACATCACATAATCTATATTTGATCACAGTCTAATGCAGAAAATGAGTTGGAATAAGACTCTTAAGTCCTAAAAATACACACACTTTAGAGGATTGCACTGATTTCTGTTAATGGCATTCAGATGCAGACTTGCATTTTATACTCCTTGGGATCTTTCCTGGGAAGACAATTCTGAAAACTCAGTTTTTATATCCCAAGCAGAAGCTGCGAGGTGACTAAAAAACTAAGGGGTGGTAAAATCTGAATAGATAAGCATTCAATATGCATAGTCCTGTCAATACTAGATAGAAAGACAGAAATGAACATTCTGGAATATAGCACCAGACACCAGAAACATCGCTCTACCACACACCCTCATGAGGGAATCATAAACTTTTTTCAGATGATAATTTGTATATTTGAAGGTTATTATTGATAAGAAGCTAAAGGAAAGACTAACTTTGAAAGGAAGCAAGGTTTAGAAGGACTCTTCAGTCATTCACTCAATAAGATTCAATGTCCTCAATGGTTTGCATCTGTTGTACTGACAACGTTTTTTTACCAACTTTAAAAAAAATTCAGGCATCATGCAACCCTCTTATCATTAATTATGTCCAGTAGGAAACACTGAAAGATGAATCCTGAGTTAAAAAAATAGGATATGATAAGTTATTAGAAAAAAAGTCCATTTCAGAATTCTAAAGGACCTTAGGTACTTAGGCATTTGGGCCCACAGATGAAAAGGTCCTCTAATTGTAGTTATTCATTTTCTATCTCTGCTAATAAATGAACTTTCTAGTTAACAAACTTCATACATTATAATGTCTATTAATGCAAGATAAGATTATGTTCATGATGCTATTTTCCTACTTTGTCAAATAACATAACTTGTGAAAACTATTCAAAACTAAGGATCACTATTCAAAATTAGTATTTTATCAGTAAGTAGAAAGATGCAATAGAAATGCAGACATTCAGTCAATTGTTTCATTTCATTAAAAGAAAATTATTAGTCTGCTGCTTTTTGAGCAAATTTCCCACGATCAAGAATATCCTATTAGATTGACAGATTTCTCTTCAAATTGGTCTAGGGTAATTAAGTGAGCTTACTCAAATTAAACTGAATTAATAAAAAAAAAGACAGCACCGAAAACAGTGCCAACATGGAACCTCAGGTCAAAGTTGCCATCAATGCCAAACACCCATCCTGCTGGAAACACAGTCTCTCGCTCCAAGAGCATAATTCAACAAGTAGCATGGAGGGCAACAAGACGTTAGAAGGATAACTTTGTCACTCACTTATTTTTTAAAAAATGGATTTTTACATTAATTCCTCTTGAGAGATTAACATTTAAAGGCTGGCGGAGGGAAGTTCAAACCTCAATCTACCAGGTACAAACTGGTTGACCTGGGCACCCATTTGTTACCCTGAAAACTTTGTTATTTTCAAACGCAAAAGAAAATCAAAGGGAAAAAAAAGAGGAGGATCACGTGTTGCTCAAGGGTGTCCTGGGGCAGCCTGACTCTCCCTCTTCCCACTGCTAACTTCCTGCAGACTGGAGTTGGGGGGAACCGCAAGGCAGGGGCAGAACTCTACCGGGGCCAGGCCGGGCCAGCCCATCATGGCTGACTTCTCCGGCTCCTTCATCTGATGCCAGTAGGGATGTGGCTTGGATTCCCACCACCAGAGCGCCTTACAGGAAGCACAGTTACTATTATTGAACAGGCAGCATTACTGTGGCTCCCTGGAAGTACCTAGTGGCTGTTCCCCAATATCCCTAACCTCTCTGTATTTAGCTAATAGATGCCCCCACAGAAGCCGGGCAGAATCATTTCTGCCTTTCTTTCATCCAGCACTCCAATGGTAATCATGTCATCAACATTTAGTGAGACTCAGGAATAAAAGGAGCCCGAGGTCCACTGGATCTGTTCCCTAGGCCAGAGTTCTTATGATAGGCTCTACTGCCAGGGCTGCTACACCCAGTTGGTTTGGAGAGTTTCTATTGCACAATTAGAGACCAGGAAGCCTGAGGAAGATGTGGCTTCTAACTTCACGGCATCTCCCGCATCTAGCCGTGGGCTTCGCCATCCCCTCCTTGAACTGCAAGCCAGACTCCTCTCCCGGGCAGACAGAAAATGAAAGATGGCAGAAAGATTCTCTGTTTACCACGACCAAGATGCAGGCTCTCTCCTATTCTTAGTTGTTAAAGTATACCATGCCCTGGTGTATTTTCATCTCTGATCCTGTGAGCTGGTTCCCATCACAGGAAATGTGTTTTCCAAATTACAGTTCTGTTCACCACAAGGCACCAAAACAGGCTGTCTGAATGAAAACCACCACCCAGCAATTTTATAAAGAGTTGCTCAAGGGTGTCCTGGGGCAGGGCTGGACAAAAAGGAGAGGAGGGGGAGGGGAGTGATCTGACTTCCCAGCCTCCTCTCCCCATTCCTTCTTTCTTGTCCCACTAAGCAGACACTGACTCTCCTCAGTCAGCTGCTTAATATGAATTTCAAAAAAACTCCCTGTCACCTGGGTCACATTAGGTTCATCATCAATAGTGTGCAAATTACAGATGGTTTCATGCCAAGGACAGTGAAGAAACACAAAGCATGGAAAAGACTGATTCACATTAACCAAGCAGCGAAACAGAATACAGGGCTTCCTCCACCCTCCCCCTCTTACCTGCTGGAATTCTTCCATCTGTAAGAAACAGGTCGCTGAATCCTTCCCCCAGCAGCCTGTCTATTGGAGAATCACGCCCCAGGTCATAGTCACTGTCACCTGCTTCACTATCACCTCGGCCACTGTCTTTCAGGCTAAATTTGTCCATGTCTTGGAGGGCATATCTAGACAGACACAGGAGGGGAAAGTGTGGTTTTTACTCTTCAGCATTCAAGCAATCTGAGACTGAACAGGGCATAGGAGGGTCACTCGTACCTATAGCTCCTGGAGTATTTGTTTCCTCGAAAACTTGGCCTTGGCTGATACTGACCCTGGTGAAGCATGGACAGAAGCTGGGACACCTGCTGGAGACCAAACAGACAGAACTGATTCCTGGAAACCAGCCCTCAGACACTCACACGCTCTCAGCAAGAGAAAAGCACTTCCCTGCTGCTCCATCCCAAGCGAACGAACAAGTTCTCTCCACAGTAAAGATTTCATATGCCTGGGCAGTGCAGAAAAGCAGCCTCACCGAATGGAACAACAACACATTACAGAGAGGCTTGGATTAGCCAGTCCCACGGACTCTCCCTTTTGGAAAGAGGATTCTGTTAAATACTTCCGTGATTATGGTGATAGTACAGATGAATGTGCCAGCCAACATAATCAAATGCATAAACGGAAAATATGAAAACAACAAACACAACCAACAGTCAAGCATGTGCAATTTTAAACACATGGCAGGACACTGCAGAAAACAAACCCATCTCACATGGACGGGGAAGGGACTTTGGGGGTTTCTGTTTCCAGGGAGACCACAACTGTAACAATAAAGCAAGCACTTTTATCTGGAGCTTCTGGATTTCTTCACCGGGGGAAGCAAGAGGATTCTAATTAGTGCTCTAGGAGTTTAACATTCAGTTTTCCAAAAGTATACACAGTACTTCTATATACATAGAAGACAAATCTTCAGAAAAAAAACTTAATACTAGTATGCTTGCTCCATATACATTGTGCAACTTGTATCGGATATATTTGATACAGATATTTAATATGATTATACATGTGTGAAAATGTTTAAGAACTCTTACACACACAAACACACACACACACAAACACACACACACACACGCACACACACAGGCATTCTTCACCAAGGCCAACATTCTCAGTGAACTGGTCCAACGAATGACTTACCTCAACTGCAGGAGTGGCATGGGTGAGTTCCAGTGAGAAGTTCTCTGCCACGTGGTTTGAGGAGATTGTCACCAAACTGTTGAGTGACTGGTGACTGTTGTGACTCTGTCGGCTGCCCATCTGTCCTCTCTCTAAGGTAGGAGATGAAGACGGAGAAGATCTGTGATGGGAACGGATGGGCAGAGTCCCATTGATGGTAGGCACCAAAGTGATGTCCCCTTTATGAATCTGCCTGGATGGCCTCTTTGGGTGGTGCTGGTAAGTTGATTCCGCCACCCTGCAGTTATAGGATCTGGTGTCCTTCTTTTCTCGGTTACACCTAGTGGCAAACAGCACCATGATAACCAGCAGCACGGCACAGATGGCCCCCAAGGAAATAATGATGATCATGGAGACGTCCAAGGAGGCTGGGCTCACAGAGGTCATGGCCGTACTTGTCACTGACTCCGTGTAGTCAAAGGTCACGCACTTGAGAAGGACCTTGGTGTGGAGCTGAGGGCTGCCTTTGTCCTGGATGACAACGGAGAGCTCCCACTCTGTGTAGGGGACAGACTCCATGCTCACGTTGGTGTGGATGTCACATGACCGGGGGTCAATGACAAAGATATTCTCCTCGTTACCTGCCACTATGGAACAGCTGAGTTCCGCATTCACACCGGAGTCTCTGTCAATCGCCCTAATCCGGGTGATGTGGAAGCCACCTTCCGCCCCTTTGGGGATGGCGATGTCAGCCGTGTTGTTCCTCAGGGCGGGGGCGATGACCACAGGGACGTTGTCATTTTCGTCGATGATGGTGAGCACGACGGTGGCATTGCTCACCAGTTGCTTGGGACGGCCTCCGTCTCTGGCTTCCACCACAAACGTGATCTGACTCACTTCTTCATGATCAAAAATCCTGAGGGCATAAATGGCCCCGTTGGATGGGTCGATGGTGACGTAGGTCGTGATGGAACTGCCCAGGATGAAACTCTCGAGGATGGTGTAGGTGACTTGCCCATTTTCCCCAAGATCGGGGTCGGTGGCCGTCACGGTGGTGATGTACGCCCCTGGCGAGTTGTTCTCTGAGATGGCCAACTCGTACCGGCTTCTCTGGAAGTGGGGCGGATTGTCATTCACATCATTGATTTGCACAGTGAAATGTTTGACCGTGGAGAGGCTGGGGGTCCCCTTGTCCTCCGCGATGACAGTCAAACTGTACTCAGACCGCTTCTCCCTATCCAGGGTGGCATTGGTCAGGATCAAATAATTGTTTTCATAAGTCTTCTGAAGTTTGAAATGGCCGTGTCCATGGAGCTTACAGACGATTTCTCCATTCAGCCCGGAATCCTTGTCCTGGACCCTGACCAAGGCCACAAAAGTATCAACAGGATCCCCTTCAAAAATGTAAGAAATCTCCTCCTTCTCGGGGGACATGAGGTTGATGTTAATCTCGGGCTTGTTGTCGTTCACGTCCACCACCTTGATGATGATCTTGCAGTGAGCCGGGATGGAGTTGGGCCCCAAGTCCTGAGCCTGCACGTCAATCTCATAGGACTTGGTGGTCTCATAATCCACGGGCTTGAACAGCGTCAGGTGGCCCCTCTCGGGGTCGATCCGGAACGTCTCGACAATCTGGGGGGCCACGTGGCTGCTGAAGGAGTACACGATCCTCCCGTTGGCGCCCTCGTCCGGGTCGGTGGCGTTCAGGTCCAGGAGCAAAGTGCCCACCGGGGCGTCCTCCGGGAGCTGGATCACGTAGGAGGGCTGCTCGAACGCGGGGCTGTTGTCGTTGGAGTCGGAGATGCTGATCTTCAGGACGGAGGAGCCGGAGCGCGGGGGCACCCCCAGGTCCGAGGCGGTCAGCTGCAGCTCGTAGGCGGCCTGCAGCTCGCGGTCCAGCTCGCGCGCCACCACGAGCTCGGCGCACTTGGCGCCGTCCGTGCGGGTGCGCACCTCGATGTCGAAGGAGTCGTTGGGCTCCAGCGAGTAGGTGTGCAGCGCGTTGTCGCCCACGTCCGGGTCGAAGGCGCTGTCGAGCGGGATGCGGGTGCCCACGGCCGCGCTCTCGGAGATGTCCAGCGGGATGAGCGCGCGCGCGAAGCGGGGCGCGTTGTCGTTGATGTCCAGCACCTCCACCTCGATGTGGAAGAGCTGCAGGTGCTCGGTGGGCAGCGTGATGACATCGAACTCGATGGAGCAGTTCAGGTTCTTCTGGCACAGTTGCTCGCGGTCGATCTGGGCGCCGATGCTGATCTCGCCGCTGCTCTCGTCCACCACCAGCAGCGGCGAGTTGCCCCGCTGCATGGCCCGAAAGCGGACCGCGCCGGGGTTCGGCAGCCGCTGCAGCACGTCGGCCACATCCTCGGCCAGCCGGGCCACCACCGAGCCCACCCGCTGCTCCTCGTAAATCCGGTATTTCAGATTCTTGCCCAGGACGCGGGGCCCGAGCGCCAGCAGCAGCAGCAGCAGCAGCAGGAGCGCCGGGGCCAGCAGGCGCGCGCGCATCGTGCCGCCGGGTGCCCGGGGCTCGGGGGGCGCCGCCCGGGGGTGGTGGCGGGGCTCGGGGGGGTCCCCGGTCTCACCCCCCCCTGCGCCCGCGCGCCCGCGCCAAGTTCTCCGCCGCCGCGCCCCGCAACTTCGGGCGCGCCCCCCTCCCCGGCCCCGGCCCCGGCCCGCGTCTCCCTCCCGCACGCAGACCTGCCCGCGCGGCGCCGAGTCCCGGGGTCCTCCTGGGCGCGCCCCCCACCCTGCGCGGGCCGCGGCTGAGCTGCCGCGAGCGCCCCGCCAGCGCCGACTCCCGGGGCTCCCGGCTCGGCAACTTCTGGCCAACTCAGACAAAGCTCTGGGGCCGCCCGCGCCCCGCCGCCGACAGCCAATCGCCGCGCGCCCCGGACTCCCCGACGCGCCGCGGGGGCGGGGGACCCGGACCCCCGCGCGCCGCCGCCGCCTCCCCCCGGACGCCCGCCCGGACAAAGCGGAGCGCACAGACCGACCGACAGACAGACCGACCGACCGGCCGGCCGCGGCGGGAAAAACTGGCGATCGCCTGGCGCCCGGACGCCGGTTCGCACCCCGGGGTGCCCCCGCGCGCGCGTGGGTGCGGACGGATGGGGTCCGAGCGGGAGACTCGCCGCTCCCGCACTTCCCTGCACAGACCTGCTCCCTCCCTCCCTCCCTCCCTCCCGCATCCAGCTCCTCCTCCCCGTGTGTGTACGTGTGCGTGTGTGTGTGCTTGTGTGTGTGTGTGTGTGTGTGTGTGTGTGTTTAAGAACAGAGGTTTCCTTCTTCTGTCTTTCTTTCATCGTAATTCTTTGAAGAAAAGAAACGTTGTTGGGGGGGGGGGGGTGCTATTTTCCTATTTTCCACACTTGGTGCCTCTTAATTAGCAAGGTTTGCCTTAAGATTGGAGACTAATGAACACGAGCTTGAGACCTTCCATCACTTTCCCCCCTCGAGTTTTGGCAAAATGGCCTATGATATTTCTTTGTCTCTTATACTTAAGAGAGGAAAATAAAATTCTTCTTTGTCTTGGGGAAAGACTTGGAGGTTCTGGAATGCCAAAAGGAGCATCCACAAGGCACCAAGTCTACTACCATACTACTACAGGGTGCAGACAGAATCTTCACAAGGGTGGGGGTGTGGGGAGCATGAACTCAATCTTTCCAAGTCAAATTTTTGTAATCTATGTTTTATTTATGAAAACACTTTTCCAGAGGTGTCTTTAAAACACACACACACACACACACACACACACACACACACACACACAGCTGGTTTACACTGAAGAATAAAACGCCTGAGCTGAAAATTGCATTTTGTGTGGATCAAATATGCTAGGAAATATCAGGGGAGGTTTATGCTCTATCCAGGTCACAGAAACTGATATGGTATTCTTCGTTGAAAATATGATTATTTATGATGTTCTTTCTGCTCTGCGATTCCTTTTAAGTTTATCACCGGGACTCCGTTCTTGTTGCTTTTTTTTCTCTCTGTCTTGCATTATTCCTCAGCTGTCTTCATGCACTTGCATATTGGCTGTTTCACACAATCTCAGTCTCATTCTTTTCCATTTATTTTCTCTCACTCACTTTTGCCCCCCAGAAGCATATATTTTTAAAAAAAGTAATTTTCTGATTTTTTTTGTCCCCGCTTTGCTTTCTCTTAGAAGAGCTCAGCTAAAGTCAGTAAGAAGGGTCTTTGCAAAAAAAGTACAGGAAAGGCTAGAATTTGCCTTCTTTTTAGGCATTCAAAAGCATTTTTACAAGCCATTGTCTTTTCCCCCCTCTAAAAACCAATGCTGTGTGGCAAATTGTGCAGAACAGAAATGCTTATGATGAATGTAGTTACTGCTGGGTCACTCTGATCAACATCCTGCCCAGATGAATAATACTATCTTACAAGTTTGTTGCCCTGTCAAATTGCTGAGCCCACCAAACGCTAGAGGCAGGGGAGAAAAACTATCCCAAACAACCTGGACTTTAGAAACCATAGCCATCTGGCCTAGATCTGGAACAATCTGGGCCAATAATGATATCAATTCAGGCTGTAGTGAACCCTTTTGCAAATGCCAAAGGAGAAAAAGAAATAGTGACTATTCAAATCTGGGGGAAAATTCAGAGGTGATCTAATTTCACTTGTTCTAGAAGTGTGCTCTTTGTGAATTTTATAATGCTAACCCCTCCTCCCCCCACAAAAAAAAATCCTCCAGGAGCTATAAATTAAATTCATGTAGAGGACATTTCCTAGTGTTTTAAAAGTGGAAATAAAAAATTTAAAATCTTTCATTTCAAATGACACACTTCAATAGAATTGATCCGTGTTAAAAGCACTTCCAAGTTAACTTACTGGATATTTACAACATACTAAGTTGTAAGGTAGTATGTACACACAGTCTTTCTATGAATGAATCTGTTATTTATCTATTATTTATTTATTTATTTGGACTGGAGCGATAGCACAGCGGTAGGGCATTTGCCTTGCAAGCAGCCAACATGGCTGACCCGAGTTCGATTCCTCCGCCCCTCTCGGAGAGCCCGGCAAGCTACCGAGAGTATCTCTCCCGCATGGCAGAGCCTGGCAAGCTACCCGTGATGTATTTGATATGCCAAACACAGTAACAACAAAGTCTCCAATGGAGATGTTACTGGGCTCACTCAAGCAAATCAATGAACAACGGGAGGACAGTGACAGTGGACAGTGACTTTATTTATTTATTTATCTTTTGGGGTCAAACCCAGCGGTGCTCAGGGGTTATTCCTGACTCTGCACTTAGGAATTACTCTTGGTGGTGCTGGGCGGGACCATATAGGATGCCGGGGATTGAACCTGGGTCTGCCATGTGCAAGGCAAATGCCTTACCTGCTGTACTATTGCTGTGGCCCCTGAATCTTTTTTTTTTTTTAAATAGAGTTTTTTATGGAGAATAGTTCATCTCTGCCAAATATCTTTTCATTTTAGCTTACAGAAAAATTGTATGGTCCTATTTTGATATTGTTAGAACTTCCTCTCAGTATACAATAACTCATTTTCTCATACTCATGTTCAAAGAGTACACATCAAAACACAAATTTGCTTGTGCATATTTTATTAGTTTCAGCAATTTGAAATGTTCTCATTCCTTCATCTATAAAGAAAATATAAACATTAAAAAGTATGTCCTTGTTATTTTCTAATTGTAGAGGAGTTGATGGAAGGGGCGATCCACTTGTGTTCACTGACATTGACTTTGAACTTTTTCTTCTGAGATTTTACAGAGTGACCAAAAAGTGGAAGACCATTTCTTTAGGTGAACCTAAAAATGAGTGAGGGTCAAGGTGGTGTTTAAGGGGCTGGTCTGGCATGAGGTTGACCCCAGTTCCATCCCTGGTACCTCATGGTTCCCGAGCACCATCAGTCATGGCTCAAGAGCATGGCACCAGGAATAAGCCCTGAGAACTGCAGGGTACATCCCCCAAATTCAAATTAATAAATAATTCAGACAGCTAGTGAACGATGATCAATAGACTGTTCCTTTAGTTTCCATTCACCCTCAATGTGACAATCAATGCTGACACATTGATGCTTTTCCTCTGGAACAGCATGGTGTCCTAAACTAATGGAGGAGAGCAGGGCTGAAGCCCTTCCATTTGTCCCTATTTTATCCACATACCTCTCATTCCATTCAGAGGGAGTGGCTTAAAAACTGCTCAACTTAGTAAAAAAGATATCAGCTGGCATTTCCTGTACAAATTGCCACCTCTAATAGCATTTGTCATTATATCAATTATATTTATTCCCTTTGTTTTAGGAAAAATGGAACTTTGTAATTCTGAATGTTTAATGTTTGTCTTATTATTAAAGAAGTTAAATGTAAGTTTCAACTGCAAAACTGAAATGCCTATATTGTTTGAAAATAGTATCTATTTTGGTATTGGAAAAGAACTTAGAGTCAAAAATTTCTTATAAATTGTCTGCACTGTCCTCCCATTGTTCATCGATTTGCTTGAGTGGGCACCAGTAACATCTCACAACAAATTGTGAGACTTGTTGTCACTGTTTTTGGCATATCAAATACATCATGGGTAGCTTGCCAGGCTTTGCTGTGTGGTTGAGATACTCTCGGTAGCTTGCTGGGCTCTCCGAGAGGGGTGGAGAAACCGAACCCTGGTCGACCGGGTGCAAGGTAAACGTCCTACCCACTGTGCTATCGCTCCAGCCCTTATAAATTGATACAATTTTTAAAGGTTTTAGTTATTCATATGTACTTTAGTAAAGTATAGAAAGTGAAAAAAATTACACACCAACCCCTGAAAGTATATATATATATATATATATATATATATATGTGTGTGTGTGTGTGTGTGTGTGTATCTATATATTTATATATAGCTCCATACACATATATGGATAAATGCCTTCTGGAAGACATGCAGCATCCCCTGGCATGATATGATGATATGTGATGATATGACTCTTCCTCTTATGTTAGGAAATTACATAAAATCATAACTTCTCCAAGCAAATCTTCATTACAGTATAAAGAATCCTAGTATTCTGAACACTGCATCTGATATAGAGCTTGATGTTTATTATGGGCCAAACAAAGACAGGAATTTTAGTTTTCACAAATAGACAGTTATTCATTCTGGGAAAATTATTTAATTTATCCAAATATTTTAATGTATTGAGCATGAAAATAATTTACTATATATAATTCTTACAAGAATTCAATTATTGAGGTCTTCCAAAGAGTAAATTTACAGTTTACTTTCCTTTAAATAGGGTCTTTAAATAGGGTCTGTTTCTGGATCAGGGGAATGAGGACCACCATTGCTACTGTTTTTGGCATATCAAGTATGCCACAGGAAGCTTGTCAGGCTCTGCCATGTGGGCGAGATACTCTCGGTAGCTTGCTGGGCTCTCCAAGAGGGATGGAGTCCCCAGTATGTCATCCATCGGGCTACACTAGCACGTGACAGGGATGAATGGAGACATTACTGGGCCCACTCGAGCAAATTGATGAACAACAGGAAAACAGTGCTACGGTGCAGGTCTGTACCTCTCTAGAAGCCATTGAGAAAAAAAATGTGGTTTATCTATAGTCCTTGCTACTCTTTAAACTTTTGGTTCAGCTGTTTCTATAATTTTATACTAAAAAGATGAAATTCTCCACTCTTGATGTATAGAGGTCATCTTTGAAATGCAGTTGACAAAACCACTATTAGTGTTCTATCATGATCTTGAAAACTTGCTGCTTCACTAAAGAAAATTCTATAGGATCTGCCAAATATGCAGAAATATAACTCAACACCAAACAACTGTAATGAAATCTGGTCTACCAGGAGTGTAAGTTCCATTTTATTTCATTTGGTAGGATACATATCAAATATTTGGTCTCATAGGATTAGACCCAACATAGTTTTTTGTTTGATTATCTGTTTTAGTATCATGCCATGCCATACTTTGGAGACAAAGGCTTAATATATCATGGCTATGATAAGGAAAGAAAAAATTGTCAAATCGGATTTTTATTTAAAATGTATGCCTCAGGCTTTTTTTTAATCAGTTATACCTTATCTCTCTCTCCGTTGATTTCCCTATGTTCAAAAATAAGAATGAAAATCACTAAACAACATAACTTGAATAAATAAAGTTTGCAGCATAAGATCAAGAGTTGGAAACTGAGAATTGACCCCAAACCATCCTTAGACTTGTCGTATAGAAATAAGCTTTGGGAAAATTCTAATCAAAACAGTGTGGGATAAATATCCTGAGGACAGTGGCCCACCTAATGCACCAGTTGAAGGTGCCTGAAGATAGAATGAGCCTGGACTCCAGGAAGAGCGGGAGTTCCAGAACACAATGACAGATGCTGGGTCAGCTCTGCAGGAAACGGCAATCAGTACTGGGAATGAGATGCCAGTGGTACAAGCCAAGTTGTGGGGCCCGGCTCCAGGCAATCTACTGAGTTCAGACGTGAGGCAGTTCGTTCATCTATTGCTTCCATTGGGATCTCAGACTTTCTGTTCCACAGATTATTAAATTCCAGCCTGAGAGGATGAGAATAAAACAGGTCCAGAGGATCTGGTGTCCCGAGAACAGGGTCTACCGAGATCATGTCCAAAATCTGAGACCAGATGACCCAGAGAAGCTGGATTCGGATGCCAATCGTCTGAATGACCGCAGAGTCAAACATTTCTTCTCATCGGGGAACTATATGGAGACTGCAAACTAAAACTCACGGTTCCTGAGTTCACCGCTAAGATCTGAAGGACTTGAGGGGTGTGGGGAGTGGTGGAATGAGTGAGATTTCTTGGTGCCAAACCTTGTTGCACTGGAGGAGTCCTGAAGCTGCCGCAGCATGTTCAATGTCTGTCAACTCCTCACAAGGGGAGAACCTCAGAAAACTGGCTCTGCATTTCAATCAGATATTGGACTGATTTCTGCACATAATTGGTGATGAAGATCTAATACTAGGAAGAATCATCTGTTGTCTGAAATGGCAGACGTACAAGGTCCTAACATCCTGTGAAACTCTTGTCTAGGGAATTTAGACACTCGCCCTTTGATGAAGATTATCAAGTCAAGGACTGGAATGGAGATATCATTTATTCAGGAAACTTAATAGCAGTGGTATAAGAAAAGTCTCTATTTATTAAATTCATAGAAAGAAAGGGAGAGCTAAGCTTCTCTTGATCTGCTGTTGTGTACCAGTTGCCCCCACCCACACAACACACACACACACACACACACACACACACACACAAACACACCCCTGTCCTTGTTCAAGGCAATTTTAGTAGGGAGGAAAATAATTTTCAGCAAAACTTCTACTTATTTTCAAATAGATGTTTTGAAAGGTAATTGTATTGCCAATGTCATGACAGATGTATAAATATGCTATGCGTATATGGTGAGGAATCTCTGCTTCAATGTTTTGATCTGGTAAGTCTTTACAAAAGGCAAAGTTTTCTTTATATTTTTATCACATTAATACCCTCCCTTATTTACTGAAAAGGAAAGGGAGTCTTGAGGGCACTGTCCATCTTTAACTATGCTAGTTCAGGGTCAAATTAAGAGTTTGAAATGTGACAGAAGTTTATTGCTGATACTTGACTTCGGTTATTATGTTAAATCTATTTCCTATACAATAAATCCAGATGCTCTTAATAAATATTTACTTTATCTAACAACTTATTTCAACTAGGAACATTTCACTCTACATAGACTTATATCTGCTCCTGCATTAAATGTCTAAAACGGTATAAGTGTGATATAGAAGAATAAGCCTCTACATAATTGAAAATGATATTTTAGGATAATAATCCTAAAATTAGGATTATATCATGTTAACATATTTCGGAAGAGGATTTTAATGTATAGTGTGGTAAATAGCAAGTTTAATATTTCATAAAATGTGCATAAAATTAATTGCTAAATGCAGTTAGGTTACGTGCAACTGTGGTGCTCATTGCTTCTTTATCTAGAATTTGTGGGTAGTTATACACTTTACACTTCCTATCTACCAGCTGAATAGATTTTGAAGAAAAAAAGCAGGGAAGGTCTAGTATATTCTGAGCATATTGTGGGATGCTACACAATTTAATATGGGAAAGAAAAGTTTTGAGATATCTTGTCGAGAGGACTCAATAGACTGCAGGGTGAAACTGATGGGGTGTGAGTAGTTTGTAATATTGTAGGTCTAAAACTTGAACATTTACAGTCTCCCAAATCAATCTTACTTTGATACATTGTAAAAATAAATAATGAAAAATCTAATGTTAATTTTTATTAATATTGATTACTAATATTGTTTTTGATGAATAGTGATTTTGATTAATAATATTGATAAAAAGGAAAATAATAGCTTTTGAGCAGCATCACGATGAATCCTTCAGAAAGCATTTTTCTCAAGTGGTTTTTTACTAAACTGTATACTATGAATAAATGTTTACAGTTGTTAGAAAGGTGGGGTCCATGGAATGGAGCCCAGCCACATTGCTAATAAGGACTTTACCTCGTCAGAGTGCAGGACACGCAGAGATGAGACATGTCTGCACTGACTAGGCCAGTGGCTCAGCATTGAGGTCCAAAGCCATTCAGCTCTTCACTCTGCAGCGAGTGGGTTCCTTATTGCCCAGGACAGCCATTATGGTGCCAGGAACTACCTCCCCAAGAAGTTGCAGCAGGTTGCATGAACATAGTATTTCTCCTATACTTATCATAATATCATAATATCATAACTCGGAGAGCCCGGCAAGCTACCGAGAGTATTTGATATGCCAGACACAGTAACAACAAAGACTCCAATGGAGATGTTACTGGGCCCGCTCGAGCAAATCGATGATCAACGGGAGGACCTTTACTTATCATAAAGAACCAAAAACAAAACTTTCCAGAGTCTTATATTCCTCAAAGCTCTTTGGTCAGTTTATGGCACGTGACCTTTCATCTCTAGCAAGGAAAATGGAAGTAGAGTGATTGGTCTAAACTAAAAAAGATTTAGTCCTGAGGATTAGAATTGCTCCTTTCCTTCATACAAACTGCTAAAGTATTGGGGTTTGGTTATCAAAGGAAAATGGGGGAATGAAGTGGAAAACAAGTATTGTTTGTTTAATTCATCCAAGAATAATTTTATTGTAGACAGAAATGAAGACTCATAAAGTGCCCGTTTTCATGCAGCTAACGTATAGTTAATGTTGAATTTCATAGCTATATCTGATCCTAAGCCTATTCTTCAACATTTGATTTTTGTTGACTTTCTGAGACAGATAGAAAGAAAAAGCCGTCCCATATTTTGTATTATCTTTTTTTTTTTTCAAATGAGACATTGGGAAAAGATATCAGCACGCATCAAGGTGAATAGTCTTGTAAAAATGTTGTAATGGAAGAGATAAAAAATGTCATTACTTCTTTGGTCCTTAAACAGTGTCCTTGAAACTCATCAATGTTGCAGGATTTATTGAAGCAATTCCTACACTGAGGTATTTAAAAACTGAGGCAGTGAAGGGAGAGGGAATTTTATTTTTCCTAAATAGCTGGACCCCTTGGCAACTTTTTCCTCAACTCTGTGATGGTTTTCTGAGACCAAACACATCCAGACAAAGACACAATAGAGTCAAATGTTGATTAGATGTGCAGATGGAAAGTCTGGGAAATGGAGAACTCAGATTCTTAGTCATGTCACAACCAGAAAATCCAAAGGTTTGAGCTGAAGCCAACTAGGGGAGGGTCACAAGGGAGAAAGGACTCTAAGATGATGGAGGAGTTGCAAGGCTGAGATCAGAGAAACCACCCTCCACCTCTACAGCTCTTTGATCTGGCTTCATTGTTCAGACCATCTAGAGAGCCACTCATGCCATTTCCTGTGTTAAGGATGGAATGCTGAACACAGAAAGGGCCACAGGAAGAACGCCCTCATACTCTACTTTCACCGAGGACTCAAGAGAATAGTATTTGACAAAGTATTCTAGATACTCCACATTCTGTCGTGACGTTCAATAAAAAACACGAAAAAACAACACGAGCTCTTCTGGCTAATAAAATATCCTAACTGAAGACTAGGAGATGTGTTTCATCTTGTTCAGTCACAGATATTGAATGGACATTCAAATATAGAACAATTAAAATCCTCCTGTAAAGTCTAAGAAGCAAGAATAGTCTGCACAGCAAGTCAGATTTCAGACTGGCAAGAATTTCTAATGTTATTTTGATGAAATAATAAAATATTCACTTTCCCCAGGTCTCCCAGCATGCAATTTTCTTAACCAAAATGAATGTGCACTTATTGTAATACTTTCTACCAACAATAAAACATGAAAAAAAAAGCAAAGCTCACTTCTTCAAATTTTAGCCAAAGCCATTCACCAAAGCACAAAAAATTGTTTAAATAGTGATTTTGCTGGATAGTGTCAAACTTACGGAAAGCCCTGATTTGCAAAAAAATACATAAACATATTTTCAGCCTTTCTACAAGTAATCAGCGCTACAACACTGGCTGTAGTTCTTTCTGTTTTGCTGTATCCATACAATGCTTTTAAATTCAAAAGGTTCCTGCTAGAATTGGATTATGATTATTATGCAGGAGCATATCCTAGTATAAACAGCTTGCCTGGCATTTACATATTGTTCCCACACGCTCCCATATAGGACGTCTCAGTAAGTCAGAAGCACATATTTTATTATTATGAAAAAAACACAGTATATTTTGTTTTGTTTTGTTTACTGGAGAACCTCGAGTCTTTCCAAACAGAGTAATCCAGTGCTGTAGGGCTTATACAACCCAGACCTGAAATGATGGTAATGCTATATAAACCTTCACGACATGTAAATATTTCAAGCTAGATTTGTTTACTACGGATGCAAGATCATCAGGTTGTCCACGATGCGTCCAGAAATCCCGACCTAACTGACTGTTTTTATAATTAATGAGGGTCCTTTACCAGCTGAACAAAAAGTGAGAGCTTAGCAGCTTTTGTTTAACCTGGAAGGAAACAGCAAGCCTCTAGCTCATTGCAGTCAAATGAACAAGACAAATCTACCTCTCCCTGCAGGCAGCAAAAAGCTCACACTTGCCAAGGCAGGGAAGACTGGGACTTCCAAAAGCAGGACGGGGAATCCTGGAAAGTGGAGTGGCTTACTTCCAGCGCCAGTGTCTGACTTCCATGCTCTGTGCTGGGATCAGGGAGAGCCCTAAACCAGCTCACAGTAATCCCCGCCAGGAGAACCCCAGGGCCAGCAGCCTGGGTCACTTCCCACTGTGCTCACCTCCACTATCTTCCTCTCAGACATCTCTCAGGCCCCCCATGGAGTGTCTCAAACAACCTGACCTTAGGATCAGCTTAAACCAATAGGAACTGACCCTTCACAGAGCATTTTGCAACTTCCCCAAAGGTCAAGATTTTCAAGATTTTTCTAATTTTTTTTTTTTTTGGAAATTACTGTTTATAACAATTCTACCCCTGGGTAGGGATGGGTACAAGGAGCTGTTACAATGACTCAAGCTTGTGGCCTCAATAGGAAATAGATGACAACCTTCAGTGGATAAATAAAGAAGAGATTTTATTTCAAAGGAGAGGAGAAAGAGTCCAGAAGCTTCCCTCTTCTGGGAGATGAACCTAGATAAGGTTCCAAAGGCACACACCCTTCTTCGTTTACATCTTCATAACTGGGGTGGCAGTCGTGTTGAGTATTTTA